TTCCTTCTCCTTGTCTTTCCCTTCCTCTTCCAGAAAATCTCACCTCTCACACCAACCGCTATCCAACCGCAGCTTGCGGCTCTCACTTCAGATATAAACCGGTTATTAAACACATTAACTGTCATTAAACCACAATTCACCCAACACCTGGTGACTGAAAGAGGCGAGGGAAGTGGAAAAGAAAACGGAGAAAGAAGGAATTAGATAAAAGGGGAGAAGGAGAAGGACAAAGAGCACGAGAAGGAGGAGACAGAAGGAAGAGAAAGGGTAGAGGAACAGGCGAAGAAGAAGGAGAAGAAGGAGGAGGACGAGGTGCTGGAATTAAGAACTCGAGACACAATGAATGGATCTTCTGCTGTCTTCAGGAACCTAATTTGCATATGGAAATGTACTAGTCTATTTGTTTTCAAGCTGAATTCGGGTGCTATTGTTGGTTGGTTGTTAAATGCCCTGATAGTTTAGTTGATCCGTGAACCTGTGGTTGGAGGGTGAGGCTTTTATATTAATCTGGATTATATATATAAATTCTCATTTAACACAAACACACACACACACACACTCACAATTAGGTGAGTACACACACACACACATACATATTATATATATATATATATATATATAATATATATATATATATATATATATATATATATATATATATATATAGGCATTGTTGTTTAAAGTGAGTAAGTAAATTTTCTGCATAACCCATGTTATATTTCAGTAAGTCAATATGGGTAGTCGTTTCCGAAGACTTAATTTGAAATATATATATTAATACACACTATAAATGTACAGCATATGAGTAGACTGTGCAACACAGTGATTGCTAGGATCAGGTTGGGCTACCGTTACCTGTGGCAGGTGGCTATATACCTTTACCTGTGGCAGGTGGCTACCGTTACCTGTGGCAGGTGGCTACAGGTGAGGAATCTCCCAATCCTAAACACTCTAGGTGCAGGAACTGATTCGTTTATTCTCACACACTACATTAATGAATGTCCAGTAATTCAGCCCTTCAGAATTGCCGGTATGAAGTACCTGGAACTTTGCAATCACTTTATTACCTCTCGTGGTTTTGATGATATCCACATAATACAACAAAAATTTGTCAGTGTGGGGTAGTGAACACATTACCCTGTATGACCGCGAGATAGCAACTTTTTATATCCATGTTATATTTTATATATTCACATATATATGAATATATAACTACTTTTCTTGTTAAAAGAAAAGTTATTACTTTCGAGTTAATCAACATGTCCCTATAGGAATTAGTAATTCTATAGGTCTAGCAATTCTTTTACTAAGATAGTATTTTTTGTAATGAAACCATTCAAAATAAACCCATAGTTTGCAGATGAGTACCTGTGGTGAGTGTGGTGATTGTGGTGATGGTGTGTGGGGTATGGTGGTGAGTGTTAGTGAGTACAGAAGTATGGTGAGTAAAGTAGTGATGGTGTGTGGGGTATAGTGGCGAGTGTTAGTGAGGACAGAAGTGAGTATGGTGTGTAAGGTAGTGATTGTGGTGATGGTGTATGGGTATGATGGTGAGTGTTAGGTGAATGTGGTGGAGATGGCGGTATAATAGTGTTGGCGAGAGTAGAGCTGTAACAAATTAAATATGATATAATTGTGTTCTAAGCTAAGTCAAACTGACTTATGTGTAGCAATCTAACAGAAAGAGAGAGGGAGAGAGATAGAATGAGAAAGTGGGAGAGAGGGAGAGAGTATAAGAAGAGAGTGTGTAAGGGCGAAAGAAGTACAAGAAGAGGATGAAGTGAGAGAGAGAGAGAGAGAGAGAGAGAGAGAGAGAGAGAGAGAGAGAGAGAGAGAGAGAGAGAGAGAGAGAGAGAGAGAGAGAGAGAGAGAGAGAGAGAGAGAGAGAGAGAGAGCTGCCAGCGCCTCCACAGCCCAGCATAAACAGCACTATGGGAAGACATTTATGATGTCACCACAATGAGTTTTAATTAATTTTTATATTAATACCCGGATGCAGGGGACCGGCAGACAAGGACAAATAGATTTTACGATATTGGAAACTGAATTATCAGGATAAAGCGCCAAGCCATTAGACAATATAGCCCTTCGAAGGGGGTCAGGATAAGGATTAGGGATGGGACAGGGGAAAGGGAATGGTGCCCAACCACTTGTGGACGCTCGGGGATTGAACGCTGGCATGGACAAGGGACTGAGGTCAGATACCGAACGTCAATCCACTAGTACCTTTTGGCTGGTATAATTATTACAAGGAGTCGAAGGTTTAAAAATAATAATGTTTTTTTTTTGTAATATAACTTCATGAGATATCTTACTTATGTTTATCTTCTTGAAGAAAAAGAAGTGATGTTGTGATAGGAGGATTAGGAAGTACTCACAAAACAGATAACGCCACTCTGCATGAGGCTCTCAGGCCTAACCCCTCCTCCTTACTTTGGCCTGTGCAACACTTTGTACACACTTCAAGTGCACTCAGTTCTCCCTGTCTACTCTGTCTATCGGTCAGTGTTTTATACAACTCCAATGTGAGGCCGTGAGAGGTCCCTAAGGTATCTTTCGATCATGACTAGTAATCTCAAGCGAATTAGTAAGGTCTAAGCGAAGATATATAAGGATATATCTCCGATACCCTCTTATCTTTTGCTATTAACACACATATTTGTTTTTTTTTTCCCCTTTTCTCTCTGTAGACTGGTTGTCGCTGCGCCCAGACCTTCTCTACTGTTATCAGGTTCTACTGTTTTCCTGTTTTCCTGTTACAGAGCTGGAGGTACAAAACGGGAGGCTGTGATAGTGAAGGAAAGGTGGTCGAGGGGGAAATGGTTGGGCACAGATGGTTAGGAATGGTTGTTGAGTCGTTATCTTATCTTGAGGTTATCTTGAGAGGATTTCGGGGCTTTTTAGTGTCCCCGCGGCCCGGTCCTCGACCAGGCCTCCACCTCCAGGAAGCAGCCCGTGACAGCTGACTAACACCCAGGTACCTATTTACTGCTAGGTAACAGGGCATAGGGTGAAAGAACTCTGCCCATTGTTTCTCACCGGCGCCTGGGATCGAACCCGGGACCACAGGATCACAAGTCCAGCGTGCTGTCCGCTCGGCCGACCGGCTCCCTTGGTGGTGACAATAGTGAGGGAAGAGTGATAGTAGTGGAAACAGTGACCATCATGACGGTGGCAACAGTCACAGTGTACACAGTAACGCTACCGTGCAGCAACAAGCATATATTCCGTTAATCCC